TCAGTTCAAATTGCATGAGTACATCAATTTCTAAGCTTGACAAATGCACTAAAAACTAAAAAAAAGAATAGTCCCAGACGACACCAAGACAGTCCCTCAATAAAATGTAACTATGAGATACATTAAGAATCTAATTTACAAATCACGTGAGAGAATTTGGCTGTATCCAGCACTAATATTCTGCTTCAGAATGATTTTTTTTATAAAGGGCAATTTACGATGTTATGGGAGGAAAACCAGGTTCATATTATTGGTTCGTTCGGTAAAGTCACGTTGAAGGGAAACAATAAAATAATATAAAATATATATAACACCAGGTTGTTGCAAAACGATGGTGCTGCAACGACAAAGGCTTTTTCACCGATTGCAATTTTTGTTCTTGTGATAGTTAAAATAGTTAAAAAGGCAATCTGGGATTTGACAATGAGGTTAATAAATTATTGAAGTATATAGAGCAGATTCTTCAATCGGGGGGGGGGGGGGGGTTATGGATGAACATGGCCCAATGGAGATTTCTTCTTCCACCAAGTGATGTGAGATTGCATTTTAAGTAGAGGTCACAAATGGTGGGTCCTGTATATCGAGTGCAAATCTAAGAACAGAATGATAAAGCGGGTTTAGTCGGTTTGGGGATTCGTTAGTAGCGGATATGTAGGTAGCAGCAACGTCCTCAAACAGTGGGGATGATAGCTCCAATAATTTGCATGCGTAATCGAATGGAGAAACAATGTTGGTTTCTATATACAAGCATATTTGATTTTGTTTGAGATGTGACCAATATGGAGTTGGAACGTAAGTTTTGAATCAAAGGCGAGGCCTTTATCCAGTAGTAGATGGACAAACGTTACGGTTTTTAATATGCATATACAGAAGTATATATATTATTGGGTTTTTCGGTAAAGTCACGTAGGTAGGTTGAAAGAAAATAACAAAAACTACGACGTTTTGATCACAACACAAGCGATCGTCATCAGGAGGAAAAAAAACTATATTCATAAGTTAATTCACAGAATCAATTTCAATATACAATCAGACGTAAGAATACCATTGCTGTGTGTGCACTCACTGAATAAAGTTCAATGTAAAATCGGACACTGGGAATCAAGTTCAACCTAGCAAAGGACATCTCAACGCAATGGTCTTCGGTTCAAACATAAAACTGGCATAACAATATCAAAATAAAAAAAAAACATCGCCGGGTTAATCAATGGCCGGCTCCAATTGATGGTTAATCGTCATGTCGAGTCGTTGCCAATCGATCCATATGGTGGAGTGAATCCTATTGAGCGGCGAAAATCTCTGCACGATCGGTCGAGTTTAGCCGCGGTCGGTTTTTTCATTGCACCACAGCGCCACCGGGTGGCCACAGAGAGCGTGACGCCGCCTCGAGAATCCCGGCGATATCGCCAATTGGATTGAATGTTATTTTTCTTTGTGGTTCATGGTAGCGTGTCTGGTGGTTGGAGGAGGGGTCAAGCTGTTACGTAAAGGATGGGCTTACATAGTATGGCGATTGAATTAACTTTTATGTAGTGTCCTGCCCACGATTCAATATGCCCAACTTGTGTTTTGTCGTCGAATGTATTTGTTGTTCGTATGCAAAGTGGTGTTCATGTCTATACAGATCCTTGGGCATTTTATCATCAGCCATGCGATACGCACTGCTGGGTGAAAGCCCTAGCCACGTTTTTCAACGTTCATGTGAGGTTCTGATCAGGGGCAAACACTTCCGAAAGGCAAAACATTGGGAGTGTTTCTAAAAAAGACCAAAACCCAAACACGAGTGCAAACCAAACAGCCACGGATGGACACGAGAGAGATGGAGACCATCTTCTGAATTATCTCCATTCCAAAATAAAAACCACAAAAGTCTCAGATTGTTTACTCTCGAGCCTGCCAAAATGAACAGATTTCAGGGTTAAAGGTCCCGGGCCAAATAGAAAAGAAGTGACCTGGGGCTCGCATGGAACATCGCAAAAGGATTCGTGCAATCGTTTGCACAGTACACCGTTACGTGGCACAATCAACACACAGGCGAAACTGATAAAAACTCACGTGTTTCTATAGGTACGATGTAAACTCACGTGTTTCTATAGGTACGATGCAAACTCACGTCTTTCTATAGGTACGATGTAAACTCACGTCTTTCTATAGGTAAGATGTAAACTCACGTGTTTCTATAGGTACGATGTAAACTCACGTCTTTCTATAGGTAAGATGTAAACTCACGTGTTTCTATAGGTAAGATGTAAACTCACGTCTTTCTATAGGTACGATGTAAAACTCACGTGTTTCTATAGGTACGATGTAAAATCACGTCTTTCTATAGGTACGATGTAAACTCACGTGTTTCTATAGGTAAGATGTAAACTCACGTGTTTCTATAGGTAAGATGTAAACTCACGTCTTTCTATAGGTACGATGTAAAACTCACGTGTTTCTATAGGTACGATGTAAAATCACGTCTTTCTATAGGTACGATGTAAACTCACGTGTTTCTATAGGTAAGATGTAAACTCACGTGTTTCTATAGGTAAGATGTAAACTCACGTCTTTCTATAGGTACGATGTAAACTCACGTATTTCTATAGGTACGATGTAAACTCACGTGTTTCTATAGGTACGATGTAAACTCACGTCTTTCTATAGGTACGATGTAAACTCACGTGTTTCTATAGGTACGATGTAAACTCACGTCTTTCTATAGGTACGATGTAAACTCACGTGTTTCTATAGGTACGATGTAAACTCACGTGTTTCTATAGGTAAGATGTAAACTCACGTCTTTCTATAGGTACGATGTAAAACTCACGTCTTTCTATAGGTACGATGTAAACTCACGTCTTTCTATAGGTACGATGTAAACTCACGTGTTTCTATAGGTAAGATGTAAACTCACGTGTTTCTATAGGTAAGATGTAAACTCACGTCTTTCTATAGGTACGATGTAAACTCACGTATTTCTATAGGTACGATGTAAACTCACGTGTTTCTATAGGTACGATGTAAACTCACGTCTTTCTATAGGTACGATGTAAACTCACGTGTTTCTATAGGTACGATGTAAACTCACGTCTTTCTATAGGTACGATGTAAACTCACGTGTTTCTATAGGTACGATGTAAACTCACGTGTTTCTATAGGTAAGATGTAAACTCACGTCTTTCTATAGGTACGATGTAAAACTCACGTGTTTCTATAGGTACGATGTAAACTCACGTCTTTCTATAGGTAAGATGTAAACTCACGTGTTTCTATAGGTAAGATGTAAACTCACGTCTTTCTATAGGTACGATATAAACTCACGTGTTTCTATAGGTACGATGTAAACTCACGTGTTTCTATAGGTAAGATGTAAACTCACGTCTTTCTATAGGTACGAAGTAAACTCACGTGTTTCTATAGGTAAGATGTAAACTCACGTGTTTCTATAGGTAAGATGTAAACTCACGTCTTTCTATAGGTACGATGTAAACTCACGTATTTCTATAGGTACGATGTAAACTCACGTGTTTCTATAGGTACGATGTAAACTCACGTCTTTCTATAGGTACGATGTAAACTCACGTGTTTCTATAGGTAAGATGTAAACTCACGTGTTTATATAGGTACGATGTAAACTCACGTCTTTCTATAGGTACGATATAAACTCACGTCTTTCTATAGGTACGATGTAAACTCACGTGTTTCTATAGGTAAGATGTAAACTCACGTGTTTCTATAGGTAAGATGTAAACTCACGTCTTTCTATAGGTACGATGTAAACTCACGTATTTCTATAGGTACGATGTAAACTCACGTGTTTCTATAGGTACGATGTAAACTCACGTCTTTCTATAGGTACGATGTAAACTCACGTGTTTCTATAGGTAAGATGTAAACTCACGTGTTTATATAGGTACGATGTAAACTCACGTCTTTCTATAGGTACGATATAAACTCACGTCTTTCTATAGGTACGATGTAAACTCACGTGTTTCTATAGGTAAGATGTAAACTCACGTCTTTCTATAGGTACGATGTAAAACTCACGTGTTTCTATAGGTACGATGTAAAATCACGTCTTTCTATAGGTACGAAGTAAACTCACGTGTTTCTATAGGTAAGATGTAAACTCACGTGTTTCTATAGGTAAGATGTAAACTCACGTCTTTCTATAGGTACGATGTAAACTCACGTATTTATATAGGTACGATGTAAACTCACGTGTTTCTATAGGTACGATGTAAACTCACGTCTTTCTATAGGTACGATGTAAACTCACGTGTTTCTATAGGTAAGATGTAAACTCACGTGTTTATATAGGTACGATGTAAACTCACGTCTTTCTATAGGTACGATATAAACTCACGTGTTTCTATAGGTACGATGTAAACTCACGTGTTTCTATAGGTAAGATGTAAACTCACGTCTTTCTATAGGTACGATGTAAAACTCACGTCTTTCTATAGGTACGATGTAAACTCACGTCTTTCTATAGGTACGATGTAAACTCACGTGTTTCTATAGGTAAGATGTAAACTCACGTCTTTCTATAGGTACGATGTAAACTCACGTGTTTCTATAGGTAAGATGTAAACTCACGTCTGTCTATAGGTAAGATGTAAAACTCACGTCTTTCTATAGGTACGATGTAAACTCACGTGTTTCTATAGGTACGATGTAAACTCACGTGTTTTTATAGGTACGATATAAACTCACGTGTTTCTATAGGTAAGATGTAAAAGTCACGTGTTTCTATAGGTGCGATGTAAAACTCACGTCTTTCTATAGGTACGATGTAAAACTCACGTGTTTCTATAGGTGCGATATAAACTCACGTGTCTATAGGTAAGATGTAAAACTCACGTCTTTCTATAGGTAAGATGTAAAAGTCACGTGTTTCTATAGGTAAGATGTAAAAGTCACGTGTTTCTATAGGTAAGATGTAAAACTCACGTGTTTCTATAGGTGCGATATAAACTCACGTGTTTCTATAGGTGCGATGTAAACGCACTTACACAGTTGAGAGTGGAGTGCTGCCATGCAGTGTGAATCGTGGGGGGGTGGAAGGGGCTCGTGAACGAGCACAGGAGGCGCAGGTTTTGTGAGTAATTAAACCGAGCTTCATGCAGGCGGGCAATTCATCAGTGGCACGGCATTACACTTCGAGTTGATTAATCAGCAGTGGAACCACGTGCACCCGAGTGTTAATTCCAAAAGTGTGCAGTGCTATTGTAATCCAAACAGGATGTAGGGGCTTAATTATATGAATAAATTAATCAATTTAAGCAAAGCCAACCCAGCCCAGAGTTTGTATACTGAATAAAGAACTCACTCCGACACAGAAAGGAGATGCTTGGGAGAGACTACAGCAGAAGGACATCAGCCATGAGCAGCCGAGTTCACAGACGCCAATAAGCTGCTGTTGTTGCCTGACCCATGTCTCAAATATTGTGACATTGTACTGCCGAGTGTGATAATTGCGGTAGCTGTGGCGGAAAAGTTGGCGATCTGCGATTTCGGCGTTTTTGCATCGCAAGAAAAGTAATTCGTGGCGAGGTAGCATCAGGCCACACGCTCGAATACACCAGATAATCAAATGGTGATGGGGTGGTGTACATCGCCATCTCGTGGAGACTGCTGGGAAGGCAACCCGTGCCTGTTAAAGGACCGTTTTTGAATAAAATTGGTTTCGTGATCATCTTGATTTGAAGCTTTCGTGACTGCAGGAATGCATACTCTTTGGTTCTTTCGGTAAAATAAAACAAAATCACGACGTTTCGGGCGCAACACAAGCGTCCGTCCTCAGGTGGGAAAGCATGGTCTGCTGCTGAGGCAGACTGTTTTAAAAGGTTTGAAATGGATGTCGCCCAAGGGTCATAAAGATGTGGGCGGGGCTAGTGATGTTAATGTGAGAAATTAGCATGATGTTAATGTGAGAAATTATCATGTAACTGTAAGATAGGAAAGCGGCTTCCTCGACGAAGGCACGGAAGTGGCTATGTTAATGTGAGAGATTAGCATGATGTTAATGTGAGACATTAGAGGGCACGGAAGTGGCTATGTTAATGTGAGAGATTAGCATAATTTTAGTGTGAGAGATTAGCATGATGTTAATGTAAGATCGAAGAATGGCCTCCACGAGGCAAGAGAGAGTGCAATCCAAAGGACATGTGAGCATGAGAGTGCAATCCAAAAGACGTGAGCATGAGAGTGCAATGCAAAGGACATGTGAGCATGACAGATCTAAGAGAGAGGCATAGAGAGAGAGACACGGAGAGTCGAAATAACAGCTGACATAGGCAGGTAGGATGGAAACATCACAGTCAGTCAAGACTTTACCTGGTCAATAACGTCCTTCCAATGATTGTTCAGTTTGTACCCATCTTCTCGGTTGAAGTTGTGTCTGTGTTTATATATCTGGATGGCTTCATGAACAACTCTCTGAAGGTAGCCGGTAGGTTTGCAGAGTACCTCCGTCTTGGAAAAATCAATTTCGTGTGAGCCCACAGCGATAAAACAATGATCAGCAACGGCAGAGGTATTGGTCCTACCGTGTTTCAGATCTGCCTTGTGTTCGCGAACGCGGTCCGAGACATGTCGTTTCGTTTCCCCAGTGTAACTGCTGCCACAACCACAACTCAGTTTGTAGACACCAGGGTATTGCATGTCAGGAATCACATCCTAAACAGATGGGATTAAATTACGGATTTTGTGTACTGTGTTGAAACGAACCTGGATCTTGTGTTTCGTGATGTCGAGGAGGTCCATCCATCTGTTAGAGGGCAGGGGTGACGAAGTCACTGAACGCTGAGTGCGAGGACTGTGATGTAAGTGGTGTCGGACTAACAGGGTGTGACTTATATTCTTAGTTTTTTCGGTAAAATCACGTTGAAGGGAAACAACAAAATAATAAAATATATGTAAAACAATATATATTAGATATTTTATTATTATATATGTTTTTTATATATATTATTATTTTGTTGTTTCCCTTCAACGTGACTTTACCGAAAAAACTAAGAATATGAATTACTGCGGTCACGAAAGCTTTAAATCAAAGGGTGTGACTTGTTGACCCACCCATACTGGACGTCTGTGAAAAAGAGCGTCGCAGCTCAGCGGATTCCTCCTCCTGTGGTCTAAATTAAGATTCTGAGTCTAAGTCGTCACAACAACAACCCCCTGAATCCCGAGGAAGAACCGAGATCGGAGTAAAAGTGTGACATCTCGTGCTGCTCGTCATACTTTTGTGGATAATGAGAATATCCCCATATACAGAAGGATAGGCAAAACAGCTTTAATGTCCAGCAGTGGCTCGGGTTGCCTTATCGAAGCGTGTGTGTGTGTTTGGGAACGCACGGGAACATAGGTGTGAGTGGGTGTGTATTCGAGTTTAGACATTGTATGCTTTGAGTGCAACTTGCTCTCCACAAGTTTGATTACCATGTGGACACTTTGTGGTGTGGCTTGCCTCACATTAAAGACGTCCCAACCCTGTTGACAAGTCGCCTCAGGTGAAAGGTTGCCCCGCACTCACCTGACTACGAAACTAAACTATTTGTTTTTTTTATTTGACCAGATAAGGCCCACTGAGCTATGGCGCTCTTTTACAGAAGCTACATGGCCACAAATGATGGCTCAACGAAGTGGCTCATGGCGTGGACATTTACATTAGCCACATAATCTAAACGGACGTTGAGTCTAAATGTGGAGGGAAAACCCGCAGGACCCGGAGAAAAATCCAAGTAACATTAAAACTCCAAATGCTGTATATAGCAGCAGGCATCAGGGTCGGGATTGAACCCACGACCGCCTGTATACCAGGCGAGGTCGTTAACATCTCGAGACCATCGACTTCACCCACAAAACACACACACACATGTGACCTGGCTAACCACAAGCATCGCCGTGTCGCCGGTAGAGGTTTACACTGCATGAAAGGCACGCCACGTACACGAATCAATGAGACAACACAAGTCAAATAAATGAAAACAATGTTAACGGCAGTAGATAGTACTTCATTATACTTTGATAATAAATCTGACCACTTGCTAATCTAAGGCAATTGTACGACACATCAAAGGCAAGTTTGACCCTCCCACAACATCGTTTCCTTGAATTATTTCCTCACTAATTGATCATCCAGCAAATTCCAAGGCTCGAGATGAGAACACGCATTGCTTGATATTGATTCTGCCAATCACGAGCCTCCCAGTGAGAGCGGTCATAATTTATACTGGTTACGTCATTGAGGCGTTTCGCTCTCTCTCTCTCTCCCTTTTCCTTCACTTCATAGCCAATCGATGGCACCCTGAGCCATCCCTCATTCACAGCTGCGACCACTGACATGAACTCCAGCCCATGGTCACCAAAATAACCTTTCCCCCAAGCCAGCGCCATTGCGTTTGCGTTGAGCAAGTGGCCGCGTGCGCCCAAAGGGGTAAGGGGAAATGATGATGAATTCGATGAGAATGCGGCGGTCTTTGCTGCGTTGTGCATGCTGAACTTCTTTCGCGCCGTACGTCGCCAGCCGTGTTAATCAGAGGATTTGTGACCTCCCGCACTTAGGGCTGCACTTTGTCTACACACTGATATCTGGAACTCTCTAATGGAGAATAACGAGATGGGTACATACGTACAAGTCGGCAGGAGGAGATTAATACAAATGACGATAACACTATTTGTACTTCTCTATTAGGCACCTAGTTGGTTGTTGTGCTGAACGCCTTAGTTTTATTTTTTTTATATTTTTTCTCTAATTAATATTGAACATACACATTAGATGTAATTAATATCTCTTCATGTCTACTGTGGGGGGCAGGACGGGGAGTAGTGGTGCAATGGTTAGCACACTGCACTCTGAACCTCGCGACTTGAGTTTGACCAATGTGAAGAAGCCTTCATCCCATATCAGAATTGACAAAGGGATTTAAATTATTGCAATTTAAAATATATTTTTGTTTTGAGTAAATTACATATTCTACATGTAAATTACAATAACAATGATTCTGTGTACTCGTTATGACAACGGTCTCCCTGCTGAAATGCACCATGGTGCGATATTTTCACTTCCGACGAGAACCTCGCTCTCCGGAGAACACCCACTCTTGACTTGCCCCCACACAGATGGTGCAGAAATCTGTTTGCTGCACTGTCTCTCGCATGGAAAGGATTGTACTGCTCCTGCCGGTGTGCCTTAAACTCACGTGATCTTGGCACGGTTCACGAGCCCTGTCTCCAAGTCGATTGAGTTAAGAGGCGAGCACGCAGTCACCATCACGTGACCATCACGTTGAGAGAGAAACCGCTAAATGACACCAGTAATGCAAGTGTGATGGTTCATCAATATAATTAGAATTGCTTGAGATATTCATAATAAAGGTTTTTGGGTTAGATCGCGTTATTGCCCGATGATGCTGGATGTAATTACCAGCGAAACGTCGTACTCAAACTGTAAATGTTGTGGATTCACTCTCCAACACACCGGTGGGCTAAAGTAGTGAATTATTTGTCTTTTGTCAACGTGACACTTTTTTGCTGATTGGCCGTGTCGGGTGGTGGAGGGTTACGACACTTTTATAAATAACGCGATCTAACCCAAAAACCTTTATTATGAATAATATTGGTCGCGAAAGCCAACGTGTTAAACTGCTTGAGATAGGTACCCGGTTCGTACATGTTACAGAATACAAAATTATTTCCTGCATGCCATCAAATTCCGCAAGGAAACAAAAGGTAAATGCTTGTAATCCCAAAGTTTTTCAGCAGGTGTCAGCATTGCGCCGTGAAGATCAATACCGTGCTGTATATCCTGGCAGTATTATCTGAAAAGGCTTAAACGGCAAAAAAAATCATCTCGCTGTCCATCACGGTGGCGATATGTTAACTACCTCGCCTGGTGTACAGGAGGGCGTGGGTTCGATCCCGACCACGGACGCCTGTATAATTGGAGTTTGCATCTCTCTCTCTCTGTGGTCGCGTGGATTTTTCTTCGGGTCCTCCAGTTTTTCCCTCCACATTTAGAGCATGCGTTTAGAGTGTCTGGCTGCTGTGAATTCCCACGTGATTAGCCACTTCGTTGAGCTATAATTTGTGGCCAGGTCGCTTCTGAAAAAGAGCTACATAGCTAAGTGGGCCTTACCTTGTAAAACAAAAACAATTCATAAATCCAGCTATTCTCATTTTGTTCCATTTCACTCTGAAATAGAGTATAACACACTACATGTTGTCACAAGATCCAGGTCCGATTCAACACGTTACATAAAATCCGTAATCTGGTTCCGTCTGTAAAAGATGTGATTCCGGACATACAGTACCCTGGCGTCTACAAACTAAGTTGCCTCTGTGGTAGTAGTTACATTGGAGAAACCAAACGACATGTCTCGGACCGCATCCGTGAACACAAAGCAGACCTAAAACACGGTAGGACCAACACCTCGGCCGTGGCAGATCACTTTTATAATTCAGTAGGCTCACATGACATTGACTTCTCCAAGACAGAGGTTCTCTGCAAGCCATCTGGCTACCATTAGAGATTCGTTCATGATGCTATCCACATATACAAACACAGAGACAATTTCAACCGAGAAAATGGATTCTGGCTTAGCAATCATTGGAAGGATTTAATAAACCATTTCGGGTCTTAATTGATTGTTCACGCTTATGGTGGCTTTCAGACCGCATCCATTATTTTCGTCTCCCTCCTCTTTTCCAAACATAGATG